TCCCCTCCCCTCCCCTCCCCTCCTCTCTCTTTTTTTTTTTTTCTTCCTTGCAGGCAGACTGGCCTGCTCCCGGGAACTTTAGTCCTGTGGCTGCAGTAGGCAGTTAGACCATGCCCTTGCAGCCCCCTTTGACCCTCTCCTTTCTGTTTTCTGCAGGTGGACCGATTCTCCTTCTTGGGAAGGCAGGTAGACCAGATCTGCCTTTGGCTGCTGGGTAGACTGGGCCAGCCTTAGCCTTCTGGAGCTAAAGCTTTTTGACGCACCATGCTCCAGGAGCTTTTTGCAAAGCTTTAGCTCCAGAGGACTAAGGCTGGCCCAGTCTACCTGGTGGGTAAATTCCCTAGATAAGTTTGGCATACTTGAACTGAAAGTTATTTTAGCTAGTTGAAACTAATGGGACTGCATCCAAAGAGCTGGACATTTTCTAATGTAGACTTTTCCCCCTTTAAATGGTTGATCACTAATTCATATTTCAAGTAATTTTTGAAAAGTCAATTGCTGAGCTATCTGGAAGATTATTTTTAAAAAATCAGAAGCCTAATTACTTCATTTAATTATGTGTAATTCTACAAAGTATGTGAATGTATGTGTGTATTACATGGATTCCTTCAAAAATTCTTCTCATATGAAAGTATAATGTTGAGAGCATATTTAAATTAAAAGTAGGTCAGTATGATATTCTGCTTATAATTATGCTCATTCAAAGGAACATCTACTTAAATTGCTATCTATCTTGTTAAAAGTTGCTCCGAAACTGAACTACTTTTAGTTATATATCATTAACTGGGATGTTGAGAGATATTAAATTCCCTCACAATTGTTTTAAAATGAAAATGGAAGCAGATATAGGCTGAGATTTTGAACAATGATAACGTGAAGCTGGTTGTGACACTTCTCAAAATTATGTGGCAAGACCCCAAAATAGATTTAGCTGTTTCAATGTTGTTTGGGGTTTACTTATGCAGCATTTTTGTAGTTCAGTTTATTATACCATGTAGTCCCAAATTTATTCATTTAATCAGCAATTGGCTTGCTGCTGTAATTACTATTGATTTCCTATAATAATAGAGAACATCTGGTTTCATTCTTCTTGTTTCGGTGTACTGCTGATGGAGAGATGAACTGTTTAATGCCCATACAGTAATTGATTACTGCAAATTATTTTTTTATAAAAGAGACCCTTCCAACAATGTACAATGAAAAATTTAAAATGTAATTACAATTACATAAGCTTTTAAGAAATTAAAAAGTATTATCTTTTCCCTCTGTTTGTGCTTAATGTGCCAAGTGGCTGAATTCCAAAATAATAATATAATGCAGCCTGGGACACCTCCAAGCAGAGCAGTTGATATGGTTATGTTGCAATTTTCAGGTCCCTGCTTTTCATTACTGTAGCATACTTAAGATTATTCATGTGATTTCAGAAAATGTTCTAGTGATATTTAATACATTCTACATAGTCTATATAAATGATATAGTTCTTTTTTTTAACCATTATTACATAAAGTACAGTGGATGATTGCCTAATTTAGATGCAGGGATTTTCCTGATTGTCTGTAGCTTAATATTTCTTCCACTTTTCCCAAATTCTATAGATGAAGGACTTCAGAACACAAATTGGAGTATTGCACTGGGTGTTATGTCCTGCCTTGCACCTTATATGGCTATTTTTTTCAATTCCCACAATGCTCTTAAATTAATCATTGAGGCTGCTTTCAGCTGGATGTGCCTTTCTAGCTCAGCCACATGTCCCTCCCTCTCTTCCTGGCTTATAGACCTCTTCAATGAACCAGCTATTTTAGTAGGCAGGGTATGATGCTTTTGCATACCTGTTCCATGGTTATGCAATGGAAATAATCCTCTAACTAAAATAAGAAAAATAATTTTCATAATGAAATAAGAAAAATTGTTTCCATTCTTCTGTTGTGTGATCTTTCTTCCACTGTTCTTCTCAGGAAGGCAAGTAGACTGGTCCTGCCTTCGGCTGCCAGGTAGACGGGGCCAACCATAACCCTCTAGAGTTTAAGCTTTTTGGTGCGGTGCACTACGCTGTAGGAGCTTTATGCAAACTTTTAGCTCCGGAGGGCTACAGCTGGCCTGGTCTACCCAGAGGCTGAAGGCGGGGCTCCTCTACCTGCCTTTGCAAGTAGGAGGACCAGTGTATCCACGGAAAACGGAAAGGAGAGGGTTGAAGGGGACCACAAGGCCCAGTCTACCTGCCTATTGCAGCCCGAAAACTAAAGGTCCCAAGAGTGGGCTGGTCTACATGCAGAGGAAGAAAAAAATGAGAGGGAGGGAAGAAGGGGATACTGCTCCCCCCCCACAGCACAAAGCAAAAGTCCATCCCAGCCCCATCCAGGAACTTTTTGCAAAGGGGCCTTTTGGAGCAAGAAGATGGCGTAGGTCAGCTGGGCAGCAGAGCGTGGGGCAGCAGGGTTCTTGGAGTGCAGGATGGCAAGGGTGACTGCGACTAGGACTGGGCTGGGGTGGCTGTGGCTTCCCAGGGTGTGGCACGCAGCCCCAGAGCTGTGCGGTTCTCAGGCTGCTTGCCACCCCACAAGGTAGAGTGCAGGGTGGCCAGAAGGGCAGAGATGAGGAGGAGATAGGCAGGTGGGGGGAGTTGGGGCAGTCCCTTACCTTACTCAGCTCAGGGCTGGGAGGGACCAAGCCTGGAATAGCTTGGATTGGGGTGGGTACTCACTTAACCCACGATTCTCAGTTGATGATGGCAACTGGGACTGCCGTGATTGCAGTTGCTAAGTGATGCAGTCATGTGACATCTCATTTTATGAACGCATCGCTTAGCAATGGAAATTCTGGTCCCAGTTGTGGTTGTAAGTTGAGGAATAGTACAGCCTTAAACATTTACTCTGAACAAATGTTCAGTGGTAATGTTTTTTTCTCAGTGGTAACGTTTTTCGTTGTTTAAAATAATGTTTCTCCAAAACATTAATATGTTTGCAAAATGGAAAGAAAGGTTAAAGTTATTTTTAATTTCAGTTCGTTTTTATAAATTCCAAATGAAGATAATTCTAGTAGAAAATTATACCTTTTTCTTCAGTGTGTAGTGAATTGCAAATTCTGTATATATTCATTGTCTTAGCTTGAAAAAAATCTGTATATTGCATTAGCTATGAGTTCTATCAAGCATTCCTGTGACGTGCAAAACTATTTATTGAATATGAATTTTAAGAATTGTCATTAGATATAAGACCTAACCCTAATAAAGCAATAAACCAAATTATTTTGTAATTTTTCCATTAAAACAGGTCTCTACTATTTTTCCATTTTTCTTAGTAGTATCAATTTTATTGCTGCTGTTCATTACATTTAAATGACAAAGTAAAATAAATAAATTGTTGATTAAACAATTGTGCTGGTAAACTCCTAGAAAGTGTTGGTGTTTGAACCCAATTTCTAATTATTATTTATCATATCAAAGTTGTCTTTAATGCCATTAGTATAACGTTGGAGTCATTTGTATGCTCTTCATAAAGCTTTTTTAGAGTAATGAGAAGGCACAGAAAAGAGTTTTATATAATACAATTAATTGGGGGAAAGAAACTTTAAATTTTCAGTCAATTTTGTAAAAAAGATTCTACAATATTGCTTGTAAGTTGACAGTTACTGTTAAGATTCTGCCAATACAGAATATGAATAATGTTAATTGCGGCTTTTGTCATGCTTTAACTATAATTAAACTACTGATGATCACTTCGAAGCTGAAATATGCAGGGTCCATTCTTTGTATATACTGTAATGTGACATTCTTTTCCCCAGGCTCATGAGCGATCAGAAAGTTCTGATGTGGCATTTGTTACCCAACTGGTGAAAAAGTTGATGATCGTCATTGCACGACCAGCAAGGTTGCTTGAATGTCTGGTAAGCATGCAGGGTTTTTTAGGAGCTGTGTAACATAATAAAATGTCCTAGGAGCCTGACATGTGCATCCAATAGTTTAAAATGTATGTCCAGGATTGAGTATAACAAAATACGTTTCCAAAAAGATTAGATAAATCAGAGAAGCTAGAGAATTTACTACTGAAAGACTTTGTAGTTTTATGAATAATAGTCTGGTTGTGTTGCATTTGGTTCCTAGTAAATAGATCTGGCTGCCTCTGAATTGTCATTTCACACAGATTATGGAAATGATTATAAATCAGAGGATACTGCCATAATTTGTGTTGTTTACTGCTTGACAAATAACTTTGTACACTGTTCTCAGCAGTTTATACTGTGATACTGCACCTGTTGTTCAGATTGAAAAATAGCAAGTCATGCAAATTTTGAAAGCATATATTGCACTTTATATGGTTATTTTTTTCAATTCCCACAATGCTCTTAAATTAATCATTGAGGCTGCTTTCAGCTGGATGTGCCTTTCTAGCTCAGCCAAATGTCCCTCCCTCTCTTCCTGGGCTTATAGACCTCTCCAGTGAACCAGCTATTTTAGTAGGCAGGGTATGATGCTTTTGCGTACCTGTTCCATGGTTATGCAATGGAAATAATCCTCTAACTAAAATAAGAAAAATAATTTTCATAATGAAATAAGAAAAATTGTTTCCATTCTTCTGTTGTGTGATCTTTCTTCCACTGTTCTTATGGTGTTTTAATGAGAAGTTACAGTATTATAAGTCTGAATCATCTTTTATCTACTGATTTACATTTTTCTAAAACACAACTATGCACTGAGAGCAATCCTGAGTTGTGTTGTAAACTGTTAAATCAGGTTTGAATTTGGATTTAGAAACACACAGAAATTTAAGTTAAACTCTGCATTTTATTTTCATCTTTCTTAAAATAAATTGTACCTAGAATTATATGCCTTTGTTTTTAAAATCAGATTAAGTATTCTCTTTCTGTATTCTGCTGCTTTAGGAGTTTGATCCTGAAGAGTTCTACCATCTGCTGGAAGCTGCTGAAGGCCATGCCAAAGAAGGGGAAGGAATTAAATGTGACATCCCTCGTTATATTATATGCCAGCTGGGCCTTACCAGGGATCCCTTGGAGGGTGAGAGCATTGTATTCTTAGGACTATAGTAAAGCAGAAAAGGGTTGTATATCACAAGGCATCTTTAGTCATTCTCCCAAGCATTAACTAATACATAAAATCTAATGAGCACATCAACCATTGAGAATACCTGTAAATGTCCCATTATATTTATATAGTGTGCATATGCATTTTAACCATTTCTTTAATGAATTAGTATATATTGCACACTCTGAGTTGCGCAGAGCAGAACTCAACAAAAAGGTTGGTCCTGTGGGCTGGAAAGGATGAGTCTTCTATTCCCGCTCCATTTGCAGTGAGTCCCTCCTAAACAGTAAGTGAAATGGGAAGGAAAAAATTACCATCCCCATCACTTTCCTCCTATGGGGAAGGCTCCATTAGATCTCAGTTTCCTTTCCCAGGGGAATATTCTATTCTATTCTATTCTATTCTATTCTATTCTATTCTATTCTATTCTATTCTA